TTATTATTATTATTATTATTATTATTATTATTATTATTATTATTATTATTATTATTATTATTATTATTATTATTTTTGTTGTTGTTATTATTGTTGTTGTTGTTGTTATGATCATCATTATTATTATTGTCATTATTATCATTATTAGTATTATAACTATTATTATTATTATGATTAATATTATCAATCATATCATTATAATTATTATTATCGATATGAACCTCAACAACATTATTATTATTCTCCGGGATTTCCTTTTCTTCTTCTAACATTTCTTCTAATGTCATATCTTTAATTCTTTTACTTCCCGCTAATATCCATTCATCAAATTTATCACTCCAACCGTCATAATGTAGTTTAATGCGTCCATTTTTAAAGTCTACCATGGTAGCCGAATACCAGACGTCGAGATATAAAACCTTTACGCGTTTATAACGTTCGAAACCATATTGTCCACCACGTTTAAAACGAAAAGTAGCGTCGTCGTCGAAAAGTGACTTGCAATAAGGGCATAAGTCAAGGCTACCAACCCTTTGAACATTCAAATGCATAATTTTACATGACTCACATAATGTTTCTTTTGGTTGGCTTGACCTTGCTGCTGTAACTTTAGGTTTTTCCTTATTATATAACGCGTTTCTACGAAAACGAGAATTACGCCTCAGTGGGTCAGTATACATTCCGCTGTTAGTAAGGTATTAAGGAGGTAGACCTTCAGGAGCGGAGTAAGGGATAAGAACTAATACTAAATATATAAAAACCAATCAAATTACTTTTTCTCTTTCGTTTCTAACTGAATTCAAAAAAAAATTTTTTTTTTAAGTTGTGATACAGATCAAAGATAATAAATGAACGTTACCCAAGATGAGGAGATGATCAATTAACAATTAATAAAAGAAGGTTTCATTCCAATTCAGTATGACAGCATGTGCATCGCCTGCACAGTTTGCATATGCAGGAGTCAAATGCATTATGAATCTGTAAATGCTACGTAAAATTTTGAGAATAAAATTTCAAAAAAAAAAAAAAAAAGTATTCGTTTTCTTCACACGCGTCACTTTTATTTTCATGAAATTAATAATTAAAAATAAAACGAAATATTTATTTTAAAGATTAATTTTTTCGAAAATAAGATTAATTATCATATTAATGTTTGCATATAAAGAAAAAGAAGAAAAAAACAAAAGACAAATGACCAAACATTTGTTATTCTAAAAATAACGATGACAATGAAAATGACATTTAAAGTGATTTCTATGAAAAGAAATTAAATTCTCTGATCATTTGGTTTTTTTTTTTTTTTTCTCAGTATAATTGCATTGTCGTCCCCAAATGGCAAGTTAACGTCTCCTTTACATTATAGTTTGTGGGGATGATCATCGGATCAAAAAACTCGTGTTCTTAAATCATAAGTTCACGCAGAAAATGTCAAATTAACGTCTCTGGTCTTTTTACGATGGATTAAATTAGTTTTTTCATTTTTTTTTTCTATTAAATTAGTATATATATTGTTTTCGTTTTCACTGTTATGATTGATTATTAAGATCGAATATTGTGATCCCTAAAGCATTTAAAACCTAATTCTTCTGCTTGAACGAAATGTAACTTATAATAAATAGATCGCCATTGTTAACATTGTTAAACACATATGATTAATTACAAAAGTGGAAGTAGAAAAGGCATATTCAAACAATGCAAAATATTTTTTTTTTCACAATAATCCTACTGATATGGAAATTCAACTTGAGATTGAAACAATTGAAATATTATTCAGCCACAATCTCTTATGAAAAATTCTTAGTTAATATCAATCATGTGCAGATTATCGGAAAAAAAATTCAATCGATTCCATTACTCGGTCACCATTTACCAGACTGGACATTTCTATAATAGAGGGTTAGGAGCAAACTTTTATATTATCACTAACCTAGTCATAGACTTTCCATTCGCCCAAATATGCTGATCTAATCAATAGAATATAGTGGATGAAAGAAAGTCCATTGCTTTCTATGTACTCCGATAGTTATCCTAAGGTTTCGAATTCATCCTCTAAGCGGATTGTTCGTTAGAGAAGATTCTTACATAATAGCAAACTTTGAATTTGTGAGATCCACAATAATAATAATAATAAATAGTTGTAAAGGTCTGTATATATTTATATTTTAATATCCTTTTTACTCTTTTGAACCTTTTTACAATATAAAAAACTTATAAACATTGCTCATAGAAATAGTTTTGGGAAATGCTAATTTTTTGGTGGAATTTTCTCCTGCGGACAAATGGTTTTAGGAAATGTAAATTTTTTTTGTGAAATTCTCACCTGCGAACATGAGATATGTAGAATTGCAAAAAAAAAAAGTGGAAAATCGTGCTTAAAAGAGGTCAAAGGTGGTCAAAGATAATAATGTCCGAAATCTTGCAGAACCAACAGGAAGAAAAAGCATTAATCAACATTCTTTTGGTTAGTTTACAAAACTTTACTCTAAATAAAATAATTTCTAATTTTTTGTGTAGATAACAAATATAACCTTCATGTGACTTTATCACCACCATTATATTCCAAATCTATATATGATACTTACATAAATATTAGATGTAAATAGAAATAAAATGTAAATGTAAAATCTAAAGTATTAATATTAAAGTATATTTTAGAATTACAATTAAGAAATAAATACGATAAACCTCTATAAAGAAATACATTTATTATGCAAAAAGACTAAACAATAATATTCATTATCCCATTCGATGTGATAAATCTTGATTGAAAATACTTTTTTCTGAATCAATTTTCGTTCGCTCATCTTTGATCATTCTATGTGATCGAATCAAATTAAAAAAAAAAAATTTTCGAGATCATAAATTTAAATGTTAAAATGAAATAATGAAAATTATGATATTATTATTATTATTATAAAAACTATCGTTACAAACCTATTATCTTTCCTTGGATCATCACCCTCCACACCAATTCCAAATTGTGGTGTTTTGGCATCAAGAACGTAATGGTTATCGCAGTTAGGACAATACTCGTCTGTTTCGTCAAAATTTTCCATATCTTTACGAAAAACTTTTTTGCATTTTTTACAAGCAAAGACCATCTCTACAGTTTTATGGATTTGATGATCTGCCACTTCTGCATGACATTCTGCACAATCAAACCATCTTTTACAACAAGGAGCTCGGATCGAGACCTAAAATGAAAAAAAAATTTTTTATTAAATATTTAAATATATTGTCAAATAAAAATATGAAAATACCTGCGCGTTTAATATATGTTTACACATTTGTTTTATAACAAGTTATTCTAAATTTTTGAGTATTATGTAGATAATTTAACGTGCCAACTTAACGTGATAGTACTGATCCATGTCACCTGATATGTTTGATCTAAAGATCTAAAATTATTTAAATTATTAATATAACCATGCGTTTGTCGCGTGTAGGAAAAGGTTTTTACCTCACTCTTTTCGATTTCCACTCTTCTACTTCTTTCCTCGGTTCCTATCAGATGTACCATCTTCGAAACCTCCCATAATATGTTCAACAGGGTCATTTGTTGATTTGAAACGGAAAGGTTGTTATTATTTGGATAAGACTCGCTTCATCCCTAAAATAGAGGAACTCGAAGCACCAGCCATTCTTTCCCTACGTCCTCGTCGTTTCGGAAAAACATTATTCCTTAACACTTTGTCATCTTATTATGTCATAAAGAATGAAGGAGAATGTTTCGAACACCTTTTCGGCAATTTATACATCGGCAAAAACTCTACAAAATCTGCAACTTCATTTCTTGTTCTGAAATTCAATTGCTGGACTACGCACTAATTCAACTAACTTTCACAAAAATTTGAATGAGACTATATCATACTTTATGTATACATATGAACAAGAATTGGGACACTATTTTCAAGTTATTATGTAAATGCAGATGCTTTGTGGAATCTCCAAAGATTACTGTATGCTATAAACCTGAGTAGTCACAAGGTATTTTGTTCTTGTTCAGTTATCATCTCTATTCAAAATAAAGAGGCATTAAACTAATATCTTTTCGTGCCTTCAGCTCTACGTCTTCATTGATGAATATGAATGAGGCCTTCAAAAACGAAACCATCTTACAACCTCTTACTGCTCATCATAATAAGAAAAGTACCTCTTCTCTAAACAGAATTGAAGCAATAGAAAGTTCATTCGAACAATTCTACAGTCGTTTAAAGTATGCTTGTGATGAAGGCATAACTCTTGTTTTTCAAACTGGTGTGACACCTTTTGTTATAGCCGAGTTTTAACATTTCGGAAGATCTAGCATTGAATAAAAATTTTTGAGACTTGTATGGGTTCAAGAAGTCAGAAATTGAACTTCTCTTAGATGATGCTCTTAGTTATATATCTAATAAAAGTGTTATTGTCCGAACACGAAAAATATTATGTTTGATTACATTATTGGTACTTAATTATAATTGGACACATAAAAGTTACCTCGAAAAACATCTATTAAACATGGAAACGAGATCCCGAATATGAAATACAGGTACAAAGATATTGAAACCTCTCTCATTCCAGCTCTTAATGAAACAGGAATACAAGATCTGATGGAAATATCATTGTAATTATCAATGTTAGCTTCACAAAAGAATTTACTATTATTTTCAGCTTTACTAACAAAGCGTATTAACGAATCTGCTCTAAAAAAATTTCATAACTAAAAAGGTTAAGAAGCAGGAGAAAAAAAGGCAACCAAAAAAAAGAATCAAATGTGTTGAATAAACTTATTGATCAGGAGTCTTCTACAAATTTAGAAATTTCAGATAAAATAACCACCATATCCGTAAAGCAATTTGATATAACAAAATTTGAAACACTCATATCAAAACTATCGCTCCTAAAAAGTCGAATCGAATTGAGTTTAAGGTATAACTTCAACTTGATCCTTATTTATAATGGCTCTAATCCTTTAATCAAATCGAGTTTAAATTTATACAAATCAATTTTAAGTCTATTTTTTTTACAAATTGAATCAAATCAAATCAAGTCTAATCAAATCAAATCAAATCAAATTGAGTCAAATTGAATCAAGTTTTAGGTTAAATTTATTTTTTACAAATCAAATTAATGATATGGCTGTAACTTTGGAATTACTGTTAGGTAGTTACCTGCCAGTAGGGTTGTTAATGGAGCGGAGTGGGTTGGGTTGGGTTCATATTATAGTGGAGTAAGAGGTAACCCAACCTAATCTGAATTAAATACTCCAGGTTTATACTCCAGGTTATACTCCGGGTTACTCCAGGTTACTCCATTTTACTCCAGGTTACTCCAGATTACTCTATAGTAAAGATACCTGCTGAAATCAATGTATTACAGCAGAGTTGCAACTATTCTCTTAATTGCGCCAATGCCGTAATGCCCTGTAATGTTGTAATTATGTCATAATATAATTTATATAAAATCGGAAATAATTGTCGATGGTTGCTACATATAAAAGTTTTTATTCTATAAGTAAATATTAAAAACGGTATTAATGAATTTTATAGATGAGAATGTATTCTATCATCTTTGAAAAATACAAATCCATTTCATCAAAATTGAGAAAATTATTCAATTTAAAGTTTGAACGGACGAAAATATTAAAACGACTATCATTAGCTCAATTTTGATGAAGTAGGCTTGCATTTTTCAAAGATAATAGAATACATTCTTATCTATAAAATTTATTAGTACCACTTTTAATGTTTACTTATAGAATAAAACGTTTTATATGTAGCAATTATCGATAATTATTTCCAATGTAAACTATTTTCATTTTCTTAAGACATGGTTATAATTAAAGTTTCATTTTCATTTCTACTAGAATTTAAGCTAAGTCTGTAGATGCAGATGCAACAACAAATTCTTCAGGTTCACTATCTGAAAGTGTATTATAAAAAATCTTCAGATCTCTTATTCATAATAAAAAAATTTGTAAATGAAAATCAGTTATTAAAATTTCAACCACATCAGGAAATTTTTAAAGGTGAAATATTTTGAAAATTTTTGCTCATTAAATTTTCGGAGTTATATGACACTTTCGTAAATTTTCAAAAATTTTTGAACCATAAATTTCTGGAATTTTTTGTTTCATTTATTTTCGAAGATTTTTGTATATATTTTTGTAAATCTCCATTTATTTTTTATATTTTCATAAATTGTCATTTATTTTTGTAGATATTCATGAAATTATTATAATGGTATATTCGAGATTTACATATGAAACATTTTGATATTTTACAAATTTTTCTGAAGCTAAATAATTAATTGCAAAAATAAAATGCATATTGTAATGATATTATTATTGAACGTTGTTACAGAATGAAAATATAATAATAAGATAATATTAAAAACACCTGCAACAATTTATAATAACCCTTAAAATAATATTTAGAATTTAATTAATGAATATTAGTACATGTAACAAATAATGACAATCTAATAATTTCTTTTAATAAATATTTATAGTCTGTAACACATATTAATTAGTCACGAAATAGTAGTATGAGATCACGTGTTCACGTGATATTTAGTTACACAAACATAACTATCAATTCATAACATTAATTATTATCACTTAACAT